TTCTGTTTTCTTCAGACCACCTGGAACTAAATCTCATGACTAAATTAATTACTTTCACAAAGTCCTAATAACCTTATACAGGATGTGGGGAATGAAATGTAGTGGCAGGGAACGTACTAATAGCATTGGCTCCTGCGTCACAAGTAAAGTCACCCTCATGATCATTTCTACCAGGCCACGACGTCTTTTGTGTGCTGATAAAAAAAAGAGGCTAACTATCTAGCTGGACTTAATATAAACCAGGAAAACAAGCTTAAACACCAGAGAAAGTTCTACAGCTGAACAATGCCGATTTGTCGCATTCCCATCAGCATCAGCGGGCACACTCACTTCCAGTCTCTGGATATAAAATACTGAAGCTCTAACAGGCGGTGTTCACAGTCCTCCACCATCTTCTCTGTGTACAGATGCTCCATCAGGCATGACAGGATCCTGCACACCGACACACACAGACATACCAGCACATGAATCGGTGTTTACCAGGGAATCCGAAGAATGAAAAAAGGCAGATTTTGAAAGTAGGCGTCCTTCTCCTGCAGGTCTCTCTTGCTGTTTTAAGCCCCCTGTTTTAACCGTTAACAATTACATGTGATGCCTATGGGATAAACATATGCTGTTTTTTTGTTTTTATCAAACCCCAATCTGCCAGGTTAAAGTCCTACGTTTGAGCTATCGCCGCACTGTATCTTACCTGCGACATGGATATTTTCAATCTTTCATGCTACAGTTTCTAAAGCCGAAAAGCAGAAGCCAGAGAAGGTGCAGTTGAGTCTAAGCTCCCTCTAGACTACTTGAATTACAATATGCTGAATGGTAATTACGTAATTTTCAACACAGTGCGGCTCCCCTTAACTTTAAGCACATACGCGATTAATTTTTGGTCATGGTAATTAAGACTATTAATTTTAGCACTTGTGTCTGTTTTGGTTCCTTTTTTAATATTCTTATGATAAAAAAAGCAGCGTGTCACTGTTGTACTCGGTCACGATAACAGCAGCAGTGAAAATATGAATGCTTATGTACTTATGTAAGTCTTAATAAAAACTAAATTTAAAAAGTATCATCTGATTATCATTTAAAATTCTGATTAAGCTTAACCTGAAAGCAGTTGCATGTGTGCACGTGTGTAACCAACTCACATTGGGTCTCCATTGCGGATGTGTTTGCAGGCAGTCTGGATAACGGACTCGCAGGCCTCGTTGAGAGCCCGGTCGATCCGATAGTCGCCTCCTGGATCAGCAGACTGGATCAGAGTCTGAAGCTGCAGTGAGGAAAAAGAATATTCGAATATTCAGGAAATTAATTTAATGGCAAGAAGCTGGATTTTATTTATTTGTCATTATTTTATTGACAACCTATCAACCCCCAGTGACTGCAAATCTGATCAAACAAAATTCTGCCCGACATGACATGACAACTCAGAGGACCGGTCACAGTGTCTGCTGTTTGTGAAGTATTTAGCCAATACAACATCTGAATGTTCTTCACTGACAACAACATTTTTGATAACTAAATTTGCAGTTTTATTTCATGATGACTGATTGAATGAAGGACTGATTATTTCATGCAATGGTCTTACAGCGTTCTGGCAGACGCTGTCCATGGCATTGCTCCGGTCACCGCGACCGATTCTCATCAGACAGTGCAGTGTGCGGCCTTTGCGGTGCAGGCCGGAGCACTGGGCCTCGATCTCCGTCCGGCAGTGAAGCACGATCTCCGGACTGAGAGAGAAATCCTCCATCAGCATCCGCCGGTAGTCCAGCATCTCCCCCTGGCATTCTCCGCTGACCGGATGCCCTGCGTAGCACAAGAACCAGCTATTACTAACACGATTAACAATGAATGCACATGAAATGTAGATAACTTCACACCCTATTCATTATGTTTGCAATTATATTTATAAAAAAAGAAATACTCTTTACTTAAAGCTGTATTCATTTACTTTTTGGCTACTTTGGGATTTCAAGGTCTCATTTAACAATATATTCCAAATAAATTCTATATAGAGAGTTTAAGTCCACCACATAAGGGTTAAGTCCAATCTTTACTCTAAGTTATATTTTGGTCTCCTCCTTTGTTCACCATCTTCTAGCTTTGTCAATCTAGTGTTAGATACAGGAGATTGATATTAAGAAGACTTTTGCAACCCTGA